TGATAAAGAAATACCTTATGTCCATGTGCCGTGTCCTTTTACCACTGGACCTCTTTCCGTTCCGGGCCAACTTTATTGCACTTTGGTTGTCCTGATATAGAATATTGTCCCGTAGTGGAAATCCTTGGGCCTCTAGAAAATATCTTGTCCACAGCACCTGTGTCATTTCATCATCTACCCCAACAATTTCGGCCTCGGTTGAGCTCCTGGTGTTGAGCTTTTGCTTCGACGATCCCGAGCAGGGCGATCCCTGACCCATGGTCATTGTCATGCCCGTGTGGCTTCTCATGTCTTTGTGGACTGCAAAAGCCGCATCGACGTGCCATCTTAGGGTCCCGGAACCATCGATTCCCAGCACTAGAGGAAGACCCATGGTTCCACGAAGGTACTTCATCACTCTGTCCAGTTTCTTGAGATCGTCCTTATCCGGCTGCTTCACTCTTGTGCACAGAAACGCCACTGGRAGTTGRATGTCCGGTCGGGCTCTTTTAGCGAGGAATAGCAGCTTTGCTGTATTAGTATGGAATATTGCACTCGCTTCCATGTCAAGCAACAATGGATCCTTTTCATTGACGTTGAACAGATGTTCACCCGCCGGCGTCGCGGACTCTCCCGCTGAAAACATGTCGTCTGGTAACTCATTCAACATGTTCGATATATAATCATACATTGTGAATTTCACCACTCCTTGTTGGTTGAAATCGATGGTCATGCCCAGATACTCATACACTTTTCCTCTTGTCTGTACCAGTGGGCTAACCCCTCCGTACTTCTCGTTGATCTGGTTAAGGACTGATGTAACCACGGCCTCTGATGCATGTGACACCTTTATATCATCGACATGCCACAATATGGTACACTGCTTATCCTCCACCATCTTATTCATGACRCACCAATCATAGGGGTTCACTGTGAATCCCCACGATTTGAGATCGGTACTGAGCTTGATCCAGAATAGGAGGGCTGCATTCAGTGTTCCATATATCGCCTTGAGGCACTCAACATACAAATATTTCCTTCCTTTCTTATCCACTTTGATGTGTTCCTGATATAATTCGGGTTCCATTTCCACGAGTAAATCTAACATTACACCATCCAGTCGGAGGTGAGTATTCCCACTGGAATCTTCAGTCTGTAGGAATGCCCCGGGTATATCAGCTGTGGCCACATCTCGTTCCTCGAATGCATCTATCATGCATGACATCATGAGTGCTTGTACTGATACTGTTGGAGACGTGGTGTCCTCCTTTGTCATCCAATCTCTTTGCTTCCTACCATCAGCACAACCTCTTCCTTTTATGTCCCCACTCCGCTTCTCTTTTAGGAACATGAGATAGGCCAAGGCTCTTGCCTTTTGCTCATCGGTCAGCTTCGCTGCACTAACAGGCTTGGCTACTTCGCGGTCATGGAACTGCTTCAGTTCTTTCCTAATTGCATCAAGACCACGTTCTCCAAAGATCTTAAGCCCTGCCTTCACTCCGTATTGTGTCATGAGAATTTCATTGACTTGCTGATAAAATCTGTCCTCCGATTTATTAAACTCCACCATCGCATGTATAACCATGGCATATGTAGTCATGTCCTTCACACTCTGATGTCCCTCTGTCACATTAGCGTATCCGACAGTCTTGAGGTGTCGGTACGATCTGTTGCGTCTCGTACGGAGACCGTACGGTTCCCTTTGGTGTGTTTCCGCTTGGGCACCATCATCCTTCTTGTCGGGCCCATACTCAGCCGGCCCGGGATCCTTCACTCCCGTAGACTCAAGCTCATCGCTTACTATATCTGGTACCCCTGTTGGTTTAGCAACCTCACTGTCAGTCTCTTCATCCTCGACACTTGCTGTTTCGGTGTCGTATTCGGAATCAGTGAATTCATCCTCCTCCGGCACCGGTTCATCCACGTATGTTGAATCATCTTGTGATGACTCGTCGTCTTCTCCACCTGCATGGGGCTCCTCCCTTTCATTGTCATGATCCACCATTTCCACACCGTTACGGTTCCGGAACACCACTCCATCCGGATAGTTCTTTGCTAGTTGGTGGACCAAGTCTATCACTTCATTTGGCATGGGAACACGTGTGCAACTGGTTCTATTAAGCACTCGTCCAGTCTTGAGGCTGTAGAAATAGTGGCCTCCTTGCGAGTTCCCGGTTGGCCGCAATGCTAATGCTCCGACTGTCCGTGGATGGGATGTATCATTATCAGTTGGTTCATGTGTTTGCACATATTCACCAAACTGCAGTTGCACATGCTTGGTAAAGTCAAGCTCCTGGCCTGTCACAATTGCTCGCGGGCTCATACTGGTCGATATCCCTTTTTGCTTTGGTAGTGAATTCCACCAGAAGACTTGACTTGCTACTAATTCGACAGTTAATCTCCCCGGAAGCTTGGTGAATGGGAGAGTRCAYTGGACTCCCCTGATYCGCTCCTTGATAGTYCTGATAAAGCGCTCTATCTCGGGGACGTGCTCATCTCTTGCTGCAAAGTTTGGTGTTATTCCAAGCTCCTCGATATTGCTCCTAATTGGGGAGAATTCACCATCCATGTTGATAGASACGATGTTGAAKCCTCGCTTGGAGTATAGTCGTTTCACTTGCTCCAAACACTCAACCAGYGTTGCTACTTTGGAATTCARTATCATTTCAACGGTTCCAAACTGTATATGCCGTGATATCGTAATGAAGAATCTGATGCCATTCACATACATTATATCGCCYCCCAATTCCACCCGTGAGTATTTCGCAAGCATAGTATCAGGTAGGGATTTGATCTCGACCCTGACATGCTTCTCTGGTCTYCTAACTGTTTTTCCTTTGAGTCCAACCACKGTTGGACCAAGCAGCTCYTCTGCRATCTTTACATCTTCACGAGTCACACTACAGTTCCTGATGTAGTTGTTGTCAATTAGTCTCAACATTTCCTTGGTGGTGATGTTCAGTATGTCCTGCACTTTGCGGGCCTTCAGTGCTCGCCGGTGATCTARGTCTGAAAACTTTGTCCCGTTTCCTRCCACYGTGGAAATTGCCARCARTATGGATTGGTCCTGCATCATATCACTATAGTATAAACCACGACGGGACTGTTTGAACTCTCGGTATCTGGTTCCATCACTACTGTACATTCGGAAGATGTTGTCAACCTTGCTATCATATGTAACTCTATGGTGTTGCTTTATTGCGGATAGGGATAAGATATTGGCTATCCCCTCCTTGTGATACCAGACGGTTCCGATCCCTTGAAAATCTCCTATCCAGTTTGTGGAGGCCACTCCTGCATTGCAGTATATTTTCATGTTCCTATCGGTCTGTCTGATGTTCGTAAGAAGCTTTGGATTGCTAATAACGTTAACCGTTGACTGGTTATCCAGAAGCAACCAGTTTGGATTAATGTAACCTCCGGATTGGCTCAGTATGGTGTTGTAACTGACAGACGGTGTGCTCTGGCTGTTGTTATCCGCTATTGTTGATAGCGTGCAGAACATTAGTTGGCATGGTGAATCGTTGTATGTGTTGAGTACATCACTCACCGACTGTCATGTTCGCTGTACCAACTGCTGTCGCCGTCACTGGGGCTGCTGGCTCCCGCTCCTCCGGTTCCTTTTGTTGGAGTTGCCCGGATTCATTGTTATAGCTGGCTATATCCTCTGGCTTGCACATGCCCTGCCAGGAGAAATGACCGGGCTTCCCGCACTTATAACATGTAACGGTCCCTCGGTTTCTTCCCCGGCTGTTATTGTTCGACTGCGTTCCTTTGCCATTGTTGGTCGACTGTGTTCCTTTGCCATCCTGTAGGAACGCTATTCCATCCCCACCTGTTTTGTTGGGCGCATATCTGCCTTCCTGTTTATAATTCACAAGTATGTTCTGTGCTTCAGTTAGGTCCGTAGGATAGTTATTGTGTCCCATCAGGTAATCGTTCTCTAGCTTCTGTTTAATGTTCCCATATCTGCTTTGATTGCTGTTTTCGATGTATATAGTCGCGAGGGTCATGTCGCTTGTCTTCTTTGTTATATCGATCCTTTCAGCCTCCGTGAGTGATTGAACTGTTATTTGCTCATAATATTGTTCCATGATATACCCTTGTATACCGGGTARTTGRAAATCCGCACYGCATGCAAYRGCTGCGGTTACGAGGTTTTCAAACTGTTCGTACCATTCAATGTCTGTCATTAAGTCCCCTTGCTTTGTCTTTATCAGGGCCATCAGGGATCTTGTTGCTGCCAATGGTGGGAACTGTTGCGCCTCGTATCTGTAGCATATTTTCTTTATTATCTTGAGTAGTCCTATCACATCGGCTTTGAGCTCCACTGCTTGGTAACTAGCGTGGGTGCCTATTTTTTGGAGCATGGCGTCAGTACATTGTCCAAGTACAATGCTGTACATCCTTTTCATGTCCTCATCATACTGCATGACCTTTATAATGTGTCTCCTTGCCATTTCCTTATTGATTATTGCTTCCATGTCGGTTCCTCCTGCGTCTTCGGCGACAGGTGGAAGCACCGGAATGCTGCTCATTAGCTCGCCGCGCATGCATTCCATGTTCTTGATAGCTCTCCGGACGTCGGCGCCGTATTTCCTTCTGGCATACTGGATTATCTCTGTCKTAGTCTTTGTGTATTTGGTGGCCTGTTGTGGTCCAATGTYGAAGATGAACCCTTCCAAATCATCACATCTTCCTTTGAAGATTGGCTTAGTGGGAGCTGGTTTGCTGTATCTCTTCCTCCCACCTCGTTGTCTATGCCGCCATGTTGCATTGGTGGCTCCTCCGCCAACGGAATCAGAGGATCTTGATTCATCTGGAATCTTTGCACTTTCACTTTGTTTCACTGTATCGTTCATTTTCGCTGTCGATTCTTTATAGTAGTTTTATGCTGTATTCACACGCATGATCGTTAAACTGACGTACGCGGAAAGTCTTAAAGTGTCAGTCACACTATTAACTGAATAAAACTATAAAGAATGAGAATTCTCTTTTATCTACTTACATACATCCGGGTTACTGTTCCTCAACAGAACGTACGATAATACTGAAGGCAACAACAATTGCTATTATTTCCTTTTAAAACTTTTCCAGAAGACGAAGCGAGTTCAAACATTCGAGCAAAGGCACATAATTGGGGCAGCAGGAACGTCAACAGGATCAGGAACAGCCACAGCAGCGAATCAATCAGCTACTCCACTGCATAACGTACTATCAAGTTGCCACACAACTGACTTAGAGCTCAAACGAAAACGACAATCATACGAAACTGTATGTACAAGAATCCTAATACGATTGCGATTGCGATTACTGGTACCTCCAATACCGTCCGAAACAGAGGAAAACTCCAGGGCACCATCTGTCACACGATGAAGAACAATCAGCAGTTTCACGATGAGGTGAACATAGACGATCCGATTGAAAATATGAATGGCAAGCATTCACCAGGCATAGATGCAAATGGCAACATTTCTAATAGGAATAGCATTGGCATTGGCAATTACGGCATCCGCAAGAAAAACTGGAAAACACAGGTACTCGCCGGCTTTACCTCCCTTAAGAACGCGCCACCGGAGCTCTATAAGGTCTACGCACTCAAGTTCCTTGACTCCTACAGCTACTTTTCCTTCAGCATTGTCTTCACTCTGTTTCTCTCGGACGATTTCGGCTTTTCCGACATCGAGGCCGGGGCCATCTACGGGGCCTGGGGCGCCATGATAACTGTTTACGGCTTTTGCACCGGCTTTCTGGTCGACAATCTCGGGGTTTCCAAGAGCTTGAAACTCGGCTACGGTCTCTCACTGCTGGCGCGCTGCGGGATCTTTGCCACCACCTCCCGGAATGTTCTCCTCCTGCACCTCTATGCGACGCTGCCGCTGGGAAATTGCCTGGGGATTCCCGTGCTGATGACGGGGGTCCGGAGGTACACCCACGAAACAAACCGCGGGTTTGCCTTTGGAATCTTTTACGTCGTTATGAACGTTGCGGCTCTGGTCTCCGGTCCGGCGGTGGACGCCATGACCATCTGGTACAAGGGAAGCGAGAACAACGACAGCAACAGCGAAAGCGACAACACCGAGTGGTCGCTCACATCTTACCGGGCCATAATCCTTTCGGGGATTGTTGCGAATGTAATAGCCTGCTGCATCACGATGACCGTCCGAGAAATCAAGGTCGAGAACCCGTTGGCGAGGAGCGCGGACCAAAACAACTCTGATGTTGCCACCGGCCAACAAGCTGGTGTTGGTATCGAGACCGACCAACAAAGCAACAGCAATGTCACCCACGGTGTGACCGTTTTTCGGCCAAAGACCGGCTCACCTTGGAAGATATTGAGCGAGATATGGAGGTCTCCCTCCTTTCGAAGGTACCTGGTGGTGATTCTCATCATGCTGAACGTACGACAGATTTTCCGCCACCTGGACGGGACCTGGCCGAAATACATGATCCGAGGTGCGYTAGGCTGTGTACTATCGTTATTGTTTGGGTATTTATGCTTAGTTTTGCGTGCTTTCGGTTTTTTACGATAGTGGTCCACAGGGAAGAGCCTGATAAACCCTGGATCGATCCATATTGCGCCGGAACAAAACGAGACACCCAAGTACTTGTATTTATTTCGTCTAAGAACTTGTTTTCCCTTTTTTTTGTCATAGAATTTGGTCCCGATGTCCCCAAGGGCACTATCTACGCCATCAACCCCGCCCTCATTATTATCCTGGTGCCGATCGTCTCTGCGATGACGGCCGACGTCGACCCCCTCGTCATGATCCACATTGGGAGCTACGTTTCGACGGTGAGCGTCTTCTTCTTGGCCGTGTCGACCACGATCTGGTCCTCGTGCTTCTTTGTGATACTCCTGTCCCTGGGAGAGGCCATTTGGAGCCCGAGACTGAACGATTACACCGTGAGCGTCTCTGAGGAGGGCCGGGAGGGGACCTACATGGCCCTGAGCTCGGCACCGCTCTTCCTGGCCAAGCTGCCGGTGGGGATTTTGAGCGGCTACCTGCTGCAGAAGTACTGCCCGGAAACGCTCGGCGAGGGGGAGGTCCGGCACAGCAAGATCATGTGGCTGATCATCGGGCTGATCACGGCAACGTCACCGGTGCTGCTGACCTGCTGCTGGGGATACGTTTCGAAAAAGGACCGCGGCTCGAGCGACGAGTTCCGGGCAGGGTTGGCCTACACGGAGCTGCCACAAGCCCGGTCGGGGGACGATGCCCGGGAGCAACCGCAAGTCACAATGATATAGCAGGACGAATGTCGGTGCCGTGCGGTTCGTTGTCGTAAGATCGGGACAATCGAAACGGAGAAAGCCTGTGGTTTTTTCGAGCCATACTGTGTGGTCGAGGAACGCATCTCGAATAGGGTGTTGGGATGACAGGAATAGAATCCGCTTTGAATTGAAAGATTATGAATGAAAGAATCTCTCTCACCAACAAAGATTTTGTGTAGTTTGTAGAAGACGATGGAATGATCTGTTCGCGATGATTCAACGCCTTTCAAGAAAAAATATTCTATTTGTCTAAAGGGAATCCGTTTTGCTTCGAAATGAGAGAATCAATACTACTTTAACAATAGAGTTTATTGTGAGTTTTGCAGCAAACTAGGTTATCTTGATGCGTTTGATGTTTCTACATTTGGTGTGTACAAGTAGTTATACGATGGATTATTGCATTACTTGAAAGGAGCTATTGCGCATTTACTGTATAGCATTACTTTGTTCTCCATTGAGAGGATGGGGCAGAAACTCATTCACGAACAATGGTTTCGTGTAGTTTGTACAGAGCACGGCATCATTGCGTTTGTCACATCCTTTCAAGAAGAAACCAAAGGCATCCAAGCACAATGCAAGATGTGTTCATGATGTTTTCCCTTGTTTAAAGATTGGGAATGTCGTCGCCGTTGTTGTTGTTGTTTCGTTTGGCCTTGTGGTTTCCGTGGCCGTTGGTGCTGCCGTGCATCAGTTGCGAGGCCAGCAGCCTCATCAGCTGCTCGGGATCGATCATTGGTCCCCGCGCTCCTCCCCCGTACCCGTTCTGGCGCTCGTCGTAGTCGGCGGATTCTGCTCCCGTCCGTTTCACCTTCGTCCTGGCGAGCCGCAGGTCGTCGGCCGTCATGGCCCGCAGCCTCGGCTGCTTCGCCGGTTTCTCCCCCTCGTCCTTGGCTTCCTCGTCGATCTCGGAAACGCCGCTTTCYGGGATCAGTCCGACGGCCCTCCTCGATTTTTCCCGCATGACCTCCCGCACCGCCTGGAGGGCGGCGCAGTTGAGGAGCTCCTTGAGGTCGCTCCCCGAGTAGCCCTGCGTTTCCTTCGCCAACTGAGGTAGGTATTTCTTGGCAGAGTCGCCGAGGGGGTGCTTGCTCTTTTCGAGGGTCAGCCTCAGGATCTGGAGGCGGCCCTGCACGTTGGGAAGGTCGATCCGAAAGATGCGGGGGAGCCGCCGCAGGATGGCGTTGTCGACGTGGTTGGGACGGTTTGTCGCCCCCAGGACCATGACCGGCCCGTGCGACTCGTGGCTGTTCCCGGAGGTGGTGATCCCGTCCCAGAGGGTAAGAAACTCGGCCTTGATGGCGTTTCCGGCGCTGTTTTCCGCCCCGTCTCGAGGATTGAGAAAGGTGTCCAGCTCGTCGATGAAGATGATCGACGGGGCGAGCTTGTTGGCCAGGCTGAAGATGGCGTCGATGAGCTTATTGGACTCTCCGAACCACTTGTTCATGATCTTGGAGAGCTTGACGGCCAAAAAAGTTGCCTGGGCTTCCTTGGCAATGGCCTTAGCCAGCATGGTTTTCCCCGTCCCGGGTGGTCCGTACAGCAGAATGCCCCCCGGGGCCTGCAACAACCCCGACTGGGCGAAGAGCTCCGGCTGCTGGAGCGGAAGGACCGCCAGCTCCCAGATTTCCTGTTTCTTTTCGTCCAGGCCCCCAATGTCGGCAAACCGGACGGAAATGTCGGCGGGATCGATGACGTCCTGGGAGATCTGACGCTCGTAGTTGGTCAGGGGAGGGATCTCCCGGCCCTTTTCCTTCATGAGGGTGTGGAGCCGCTTTTCCGCGGCCGAGGCAGCGGCCTCGACATCGGCGTCCTGGTTGCCCGCGTTGAGGCCCTTGACGATCTTGTTGACCACGTACGAGGCCAGCACGCCGGTGGCGATGAGGATGCCGACCTCGACGCCCAGCTCCACGAGAAACTGGGCCGTGTCCTTCTCTCTCTTCTTTCCATCCCTTACCCTGCTCGATTCCGGTGCGGAAGGGGAAGGCATGGTGAAGCAATAATGTCAATGGATTTCAATAACAACGGATGCGGTGCTTGTTTGTTGTTGTGTTTTTTTATTCTACCTTCGACGAGCCTCAAAATCAAACTCAACCTTTTTCTTTTCTCCTGTTGTTTCCGCAATGTGATAAATTGTTGTTTGCTTTTGTGATCTTACAGATCTGTCGCGAACGGTTGCCTCTTGCTTCGTACGACCAATTATTCTCTCGGTTTGGCAACGACCCGGTGAAAATTCGAAAGAGTGTGCGGTGCTACGGTACGAATTATTAGTGACTTCGCATTTTCGTGCGTGAGGCTGGTTCTTGTTTTGAAACGGTAGGTAATTAAATTCATGGTTCGCGAGGAAAACCTGCCTTTAAAACTTGTTCCCACTAGACGCGACCATCACAAAAGTATTTTCAGCGGCATGTCGAGGGGAAACGACAACGTCAGGCAAGCGTTCTACTTGACCCGTTCGACCAAACCAGAAGATCATTCACGAGTTGCTTATGACTGCCACGTGTCCCCGCAGAAGGAAGGAAATTTGTTCCCTGCCGGTTCGAAACTCAAAAATTACGTAACGTACCGAAGGGTACGTACGAAGTACGTAATTTTTTCTCGATCCGAAACAGCTGTCACGCCGAGATCTCACCGGCATTGTTGTTCTTTGTCTTCCCTTTCTCGTTGGGACCGCCGACGAAGAATTCCAGAGCAGACGCGCACACCTTCATCGATGGACAACCATTGCACGGAAGGATAGTTCGCTCTCACTGTTTCCGTTTTCCATCGAACCGCGGAACGATAGCTAGCGGCGACTTGCGTTACGGCACAAAACAATTCTCGCCATGGGCAACGGCCACAACCACCGCTCCCTGCTCTGGCTCCTGCTGCTGGCCTCTCCCCCGCAACAAGCCACCTGCCTCCAGCAGCTCCTGTCGGAACAGGTCGGCAACCAGTATTCCCGGCTGACGTCGACGAAGTGGAGGGTCCGCCTCGACGTCGGGTTGCAGCCGGGGACGTGGATGCCCAGACGGTACCCGGGGTGGGCCGAGTCGGGGGCCCGCCTGGTCGTCGACGCCGACATCGAGTTCACGGACGACCTCCTGCCCCGAACGGTTCCCGGGGAGCCCCTGGTGGGACCCCGCGACCAGACGGGGGTCCTCCGGGTCAACCACCTCGGAAAGGATTCGGGCACCACGAGGAGGGGCAGAGACAGAGACAGCGATCAAAAACCCTACAACCCGTCGACCTTTGTCTCGGAAAAGGGGACGCAGACCGTCCGCTTCACCGACGGGGGCTGGTGCATCAAGCGGCCCACGGCGGACGTGAAGAACGCCGAGGGCGGAAGGGTCCAGCCAGGGGGGATCCTGGGCTTTTGGCTGGATTGCGAGAGTGGTGCCACGCGTCGGGACGTGGAGATCCTTCCAAAGACGAGGATCTTCTTTACGACGGGCGTGTGGGACGATCCGGCGGGCCTGCAGGCCCTCGAGGACGAATACCGGGTGGCGCTCTCGGACCTCGAGGAGATCGAGGACCGGACCCGGGAAACACGGAGGGACGAGGGGCCGTCCAAGAACCTGCTGGAGCGGTTCCGTGAGTTCCGCACCATGTTCCAGGACGCCGACGCCTACGACAAGCTGAGGCTGCGGAAGGAGGAACTCGAGCGCCGGTCGCCCCCGAGGTCGTCGGCGGTGGCCAAAAACGGGGTGAAGATGGCCCCGAACGGATCCCTCGTCATCAAGGGGGGGGATCCCAACCGGCCGGACTGGCTGCCCACGGCCGAGTACCTCATTTTCGGTACCTTTTCGACCAAGGCCCTGTCGTAGCAATCTGTAGATTCTCTTTCAATCATATATGTGAAAGATCATTGACAGCTTGGCCCTTCGTACTTTGCCTGCGCCTTGATTGTTCTGTGGTTGCCTCGGTATGATTTGCGGCACTTATCATTTGTACCAAATAATTATGATACCCTAGTTCGATTGCAAACTGTAGCCGCAGTTTTTTGTCAAAAACCAAAACTGAGGATTTCATAATAGTCTAGAGCTGCGTATTAGAGTGACCGAACCTATGGATTATTCAAAATGGATCTTTTAAAAAAATATTAAATGTACTTTAAAGCCAACAAATGTAACATACACAATTATKCAACAGCAAATTATAAACAACACACCACATCCACCGCCGTGTGGCGTGACCAGCTCCCGCCTCTCTCCACGTTTAACGGTAGGTGTTCAGCAGGCTCATGCCCGTATCGACCGCTCCACTGCCGGCGGCCGCTACCGAAGCCGGTGCCACGGCCGAGGCCGTCGCCGCCGCGGAGCCACCGTCTCCCGCCGAGGCGTAGGCCCAGAGCACCAGGAAGGCCACCCCGGCCAGGACGTAACCGGCGTTCTCATCGATTTCCATCTCGTCCAGGGCCGTCTCATCCTCCTTGGCAAGGGGGGTGAGAACCTTCATGAGGTTCTCGGCCGACGTGTTGGTGCAATCGTCCATGCCTTCGTCGGTTTCCAGGTGCTTGGCGACCCCGTTCTCGATCACCAGGGCAAAGCGCTTGGAGCGGATGCCGACCCCGAAGCCCATGTCTTCCACGAGTCCGAGCTCTTTGACGAGCTCGGAATCGCCGTCCGCCAGGATTGTGACGGGAGGGGACGCGGTCTCGTTGCCGCTCCCTTCCTCGGAGCCCTCGTCGACTTCATCGGTGGATTCGTCGCTGTCGGCAACCGTGTCCGACACGAGGCCCACCTCCTTGGCCCAGGCATTGTTGACAAACTTGTCGTTGGTGGTGACCACCGCAATCGTCTCGACTCCGTAATCGGTTTTCAGCGTGTCGGCGTGTTCGATGTACCCCGGCAGATGGGTCTTGGTACAGGTAGTGGTAAAGGCCCCCGGCATGCCAATGAGAATGGACGTTCCGTTGCCCAAGGCTTCGTGGAGGCCGATAGGGACGATCTCCTCGTCGGACAGTATCTGGACATCGACATTGGGGATGGGGGCACCCATCTCGATCGGGTCGAGGAGGACCTTCTTCTTTCGTCGGAACCTGCTCAGGATCCCCATCTGAAGGGCGGTACTCGTCGAGGAACCAGYGGTCGTGGTGGGTTGCAATCGGTACGTGGATGCGTGCGGAGCAAATGCTCCGGTGTGCGCCACCAAGAGGGTACTGATGAGCACAAAGAAAAAACTGAAGGATGTCATGGTATGCATATCTCTAGTTGCTTGTGTTTCGGTTTCTCTCTTTGACTCTCTGTTGCAAAGTGGAGTTGGAAGACGCTTGTGGTTTTGGCGTTTTGGGAGGGAAGACGGTGCCTTTGAATACTATGCCGGGAGAAGAGGACGGCATTACAGCGTTCGGTAGGTTGTGTCGCGGTGCCGAGGAGAAGCAAATTTATTCTTTGAAGGCGAACTTTTGACTTCAAAACCTTTGAAGTTCACAAAAGGTATCTTTCGGGAAATATTCAGTCGTGTGATCAGTCACGATGAATGTCAACAGAGTATTCTTTTCCAAAACGTTCAAAAATTCCTCCCGCCTCCCGTGCGGTTAGGCTAGGACGAGCAAGACAATTGTACCAATAATCGATAGTCGATACGCCTTGGATTGCGTATGATCGTACCCAATTACAGTACCATAATAGAGTATCGTTCCGAGGTCGCCGTACATAATTCCCAATGTGAGAGCTTGCTCGAAGAGTTTGACTCGATTGAGTCGGACCTTTCATTCGCACTACTTACTCGTACGTACCATACCATAAATACATACATATGATACCACTTATCGCATATGAGTAAGTTCGTACCGTACGGTACCCAACAACTGCCTCGATATTCGTGCTCACTCACTATCTACTCGTGATTTAGTCTGTTTTATGTTTTATGCCTCACGAGGAAAAATCATCGTTGTTGACGAAATCGTTGTTGACGAAATCCTTTTTCGTTCTGCTAGTGCTCTGATTATCCACACGGTACTCGTACTCTGTCCAAAGGTATTGCACCCTTCGTGATACTAAAGGTGTTCGCTACCAGAGCAAATAAGCTAAGAAAACCTCCGAGGTCCCTCAGTAAATCACCTCAGCCACGGGAGCATTCAACTACAAACAGCTCCATGATGGCCCCATGCTATCTCGGTATCGATGTGGGCACACAGGGTCTCACGGCGTTGCTCGTCGAATCTTCCGAAACCAGCGCCACCAATGGCGGCGATCGCAAAACCTCCCTGAAGGTATTGGCTATGGGAGAGGGGAGCTATGACTTTGTTCCGGGACTGCCGGACGGTTGCTACGAACAAGATCCGTCTGCCTGGGAAACTGCTCTAGTCCAGGCTCTGAAACAAATTCAGGAGAGCGACGACATCAACGAATCGGAGATTTCCATCGCATCTCTTTGCGTCACTGGGCAGATGCACGGGTGCGTCATGATCGATGCAGAGGGGAGAAATCTCGGAACTGCCCGCCTCTGGTGCGATGCAAGAAACCAAGAAGAGGTAGGTCTGAAGTGAAATGGAATAGTGTAAGAAGCAATGCAATCCAATACAACGAAATTGATTGTGTGCGATCCTTCTGTTCGGTGGATTGGTGAATTCACTTTTCATGAAATCTTTCTGTACATACTTCACAAAGAAGACGAGTTTGATGGAAATTGTTGCACAGACTTTGTTTCTCGGTATGAAATGTTCCAGCCAATCAAAATTATGATTTGCCATTTGCATGCACTGCCAGTTTTTGAATCTGACAATGCTCCACACGACTTTGCGCCTGACTCTCTTTACAACATCTCAGGCCGACGAACTGAGCGAATTGTTCGGTGAGCGCATGCCAAAGCGCCTAACTGCCGCGAGGTATCTCTGGTCGATGAAACACGAACCGAAAAAGGCGCAAGCATGCCATGCTATTACCACTCCAGCCGGATACATCGCACACCGATTGACAACAAGGGTCAGTGGTTCTCCTTCTCTTCCACCACTTTTGCTAGGTGCCGGGGAGGCGTCCGGAATGTTCCCCATCCACACCATCGATGGTGGATGCTGTGAATATCAAGCCGATTGGATCGAAGCCTTTGACAACCATGTTCGAAACACGATTTACGAGCCGGAAACAAAATTTTCCCTGGAAAAACTGCTGCCGAAAATACGAACGGCAGGTGACACTCGAAACCACTGCGACAACACCGAGAACTCTGTCGTTCTGAATCCTTCGATCCTTGAACCCGGTGGGTGGCTTTCGGACGTTCGTGAACTCCTCACGAGCGATGGTGAAATCTCTGTGGCTCCCGCGGAAGGAGACCAACCAACAGCCCTAGCAGCCTCGCTCATCGGCGAGCCAGGGATGATATCGTGTTCGTTTGGAACCTCGGTGGTAGCAAATATGGTTGGAAGAAGTAGCGGCAACAATGGCGGCAAAAACAAAATCTCTCTGGCCGCGGTCGATCGCTTTAACGCCGTGAACGGACAGCCCATTTCGATGGTGTGGTTGCGAAACGGAACTACCTATCTTAACCGCATGGTGGAGTCATACGGAGGCGATTTCGAATTGCTTCTAAAACAAGCGGTCGATGCTCCTCCCGATTGTGGGGGTTTGCTTGCCCTGCCTTTTTTGGACGACGAACCCGGGTTGGGGGTCAAGCGGGGGGGAACGGCAATGATCGTGGGATTCAACAACAGCGCCAGCGACAACGGCAACGATGGGAATCATCGAGCTGGAAATGTGATCAAGGCTGCTATGATCTCGGTCATGTTCAACTTGCTCCTTGGAACGCAACAAGTCGAAGAACAAGCGGAAGCAGATGAAAATAACGATGGTTCCTCCACGAGGAAGGAAATCGTGTTGACCGGAGGGCTGACCAAAACCCCACAAACGGGACAGATCCTAGCCAACATCTTTGATCGCCCAGTTCGATTGATGGAAGCTGCTGATGAAGGTGGGGCATGGGGTGCTGCTCTGTTGGCCAAATATTACGACGACTGTGGCGCTAGTACGGTTGTACCACCCAGTTCCGATAGTTGGCTGACATTTTTAAACACAATCGAAGCAAAGGAGCAGCAAACATTTCATCCGGAAACCGAGCATGTAGCAATTTATCGGAAGATGCTCAGAAAATACAAGAGACTCTTGCTGCTCCAACCTCAGTTGAACGAAGTGATGAATGAACCGTAATTGTTCTGAATTTCCGACAGAACTATTTTCTTCCTAAATATGATGTTTTTGGAAAGAAGAATTACAGTCATACACCAGGGTCAATGCGAAACGAAAACAATTATGAGATGCTACCMTCTTTCATATTATGTAGGTCCCTAAAGTGGATAGAACTTGCGATGGGATTGAAAGCAAGCAGACATATCTTCACAAGAATGAATGCTGGTGCAATGTAGCCGTTCACTTGTGCCAAGTTCTATCTTTTTATTCACTCAATAGTATCAGTAGTATATCAAATAATTGCAAAGCATTCATCTTGTCCCAGGTCCATGTGAGACTATGGTTGTGGAAGTCATCTGGAGAGCTGAAGACAGTTTGATCCAAAAGTCTGTTTTAGTGTTGATATAGTCCTTACAATTCATTTTGCTGTGCGGTTCTTGTGAAGTTGGGTAGTCAACTCAGATGGATATCCCATGAAGCAAAAGTTCCTGCCGAGATCGAAAAGCCTTCGGAACCTTTGAAGAACACACATCAGAGCAGCCACTTCTTCTGGATCGTTTTTGAACTTGAGCGTGACTGCGTTTGACGATAAATCTAATGTTTGCAGGGTGTCATAACATGGATGCTGCTCGTTATGAATCCCGCGTAAGAGGTTGAGTCTGTCTGAAACGCGTTTGATGCTCTCTATCTCGTTATGGTTTAGTTTGATGCGCTTGATGTTCGTAAGTTTCGGTGCAACATTTACAAGTAGAATTTCTAATTGATCTTGGGTACACATCGAATAGCCAAGATCGATTTCTCTCAACGTATGCCGAAAAGCGCAAGATTGACTTTGTATGCCAACTAGCATATTTCGAATGAAAATCGTTTCAGTCTTTCTGGTGAGTATCCGGAATGAGATCTTTTCTAAACTGGGGATCATATCGAAGTATTTTATGTCCAACAGATCTCCTCCATCTCCTCGAAACGTATACAAGATGTCAAGCTGTTTCAAATTTTCAAACTGTAGTTTTTCAATCGGTTGGCATCCATTGTTTACCCCATCGGTTGACGGGAATATGTTGACATTCAGTAATTTGAGCACCTTCAGCATACCTAGCGGGAGTATAGCATGGATGGGAATTTGTAGCGGGACTGCCATGATACTGTTGCAGTCTAAAATGAGCTGGGTGACTCGTTTTGTTGCTTCATCGACCACGAAAGTATTACGATCCAGGAAGTCGTTTGGATCCGAGTAAAGATCGATCTTTCCCATCAGAACGAAAATCGAAATTGTAGCCAAGGCATCACGCACATCAATTCTTTCTTTTGAAAAAATTGGGTTTCGTGCGATTATAGCAAGTCTTCGCTGCTCAATAAGTTGATGAATTGTTTCTTTGTTGATTTCCACCATGGTTGTTTAGTTTTCGCATTGGATATTACTCTGGACGGTATTTCAAAGAAAAACCAACCATTAGCGGCAGCCAACAGCCTATGATTTTCGCAATTTCGTGTTTTGGTATTGTATCAATTTTTATACTTCCTCCGTCCAGAAATGATTGTCCCCTAACAGACTTGCTACTGAAATAAGCTCAATATTTGGGCAATTTAAATGGTTCTTTTTTTATTAGATTTGTCTTATTTAAGGCTACTTGAATATGCAATGCGATTTATTGTCACACAAGCAATAATAAAGCTATGAAGCTTCGAGTGGGGCTATTTTTTTAGCCCGTTTTTAAGTTACCGGTTGAAAGGGTTCCAACGGTCATTTTGATAAGCCGCTACTTGCATACGTTAGTGTAGGTCTATTACTATTGGAGACTATACTTAAGATTTGTATTGTTTGATTTCTTATATTGGTCATTTGTGTTCAAAAGAGGTGCACCATACCATTGTCAACATATTGTTTCCCGTCTTAATGCACTTTTAATTTCATGTGCAAAAATAATTTTTATTCACGCGCATGCTCGTTTCTAGCATCTGGTACTGATCCTACGTATTGTACACAGTCATGTTTAATTCGGGGTTAAATGAAACTATTTTKAAAGTGTTAAGTAATTAGGGGACTATCAAATCTGGACAGTAAAATTGCAGTCACCGGACGGTCATTTCTGGACGGAGGAAGTAACAAAATCACCCCCACAACATGGAGGCACATTTTTTTTCCTTACTTATTGTTTAATATCAATATTAATATTGATATTTCTGTGGAACTTGTTGGGACGGTTCTTGGGCTGGGGAAATAACAAAAGAAAGACAGAAAGTTTTTTATTYATGCCTAGACACAAAATAATTCATTTCGAAGAACTTCAAGGACTAGGGAATGTATTGAATCATGATCGACCATTATATTTCAATTTTGATCCAATCGCATTGTCGCCTTCAAATACAATACAGTAATACAGCAGTAAAAAAAGACGACAGTATCTAGAACAAATCATCTTCAAGTAATCTATTTCGAAGTACTTCCTACTATTATTATTTCCATACAAACCGTCAAATGCCCTAGTTACAGCGGTAAATTAATGTTATCAAGTGCATGACAATTTCTATGGATACTATTGCGTTGGAGTATCCAGGAATTGGCAGAGCTTCAAGAGGCTCTTCCGTTCTCCCTGGATTGCAGCGCCGTGTCGCAATCGTTCGATCCTTCTAGTTGTGATACATTGCGACGTAGTCTTTCACGGCATCAATCTCCGGTACGACAGTGTATACCTTTGTAAGGTTGGGAAAATTCGACGAAACAAAATCGGTGGGGATGTAATCGAGCACACCGGTCGAGAGCCACGCCACGAGCCTCCAGACACAAATGTCTGCAACCGTTAAAGTTTTTCCACAGGCAAAATCGCTCTCCCTACACAAGAGCGAATCCAAGCCCTTCAGGTGCATGAACAACCGACCCTTCTCGGGATCCATAAGCTCGGTCCGCTTGGCTTCGACCTTGTCCTTGGGGAGGCCAAAGGACGAGCCGATGGTCGTCGTGACGTCCGTGCACCCGTTGATGATTTCGTCACACCGGGCCTGTCCGAGAATGTCTTCCTCCTTTGGATACAGGCGCGAGAAGGGGGCGCCCTCGGCACCGCCGAGTTTCCCGACGTAGGCCGCCATGGCCTGGGTTTGCGAGAGGATCTRGCCGTCCGAAAGCTCCAGGATGGGGAAGGCTCCAAAGGGAGTACTAGACTTCTTCGCCTTGATCTGTTCCATGTCGGTGATATTCTCGAAGGGGATGTTTTGGAGGAACAGACCCGCTCTCAACACCTCGGCGCGCCAAAACTTGAAAGGGTAGTAGTAGACCTTGATCATGGTTATTGTAACTTGGGACCTTGATGTTTGAGTATGATCCGTCAGGAATTTCTTTTTCCGAATTGTGGCATCATGAATTACAATCAAAGATGTGCGGTCACAGGACAGCTCGGCGAAGTTTTCGAACGACGAAGAAAAAAATATCTTTTTGCGGGACTCAATCCAGAACGATACGTAGGTTTTAATACTACCTGTACAGTTATGCATGAACTGTGTCCACGAACTCTACGTTGGAGCCTTTCAGGGCATACTGTAGGGCGACGAAGGCCTAATACAGAAAATGCGAATCTCCCAATCTATYGTAGTTTACAGTAGAAATACTCCTGCACCAAGTAGTACCAGTAAAAATCACTACCAAGTCGAATGAATCAAGAACATGATCCAAATTACTACTATGAAAACCAGGACACTTTACAGTTATTTTAACGGTTTTTACCTGTAGGAATGAACGCAATTTTTTTACAATTTATTTGTGTGCTCACAACTTTCCAATGGTCCTCGTGTTCCTCTTCGCACAGAAATCCGAAAGAAAAAACCCAAGTTTGAGAGGCAAAACAACTCATAAAATCTTACTCTCTCTTTGTATTATTCATATCCTTCTCTTTTGTTCGTTCAATCCAACAAGAAATCATGGCTCTATCGATCGACTACCTTGGTGACGATGTTCTGATGGAAATCATGACATTTGCTTGCTACGGGGCGGGTCCGCTAGAGGTAGTAAGCCCTTCGGCACGATTCGCCCATGTATCCAAGTGGTGGCGAAGCCTCTACCAGAAAGTGGTCGAGAAAGGGGGCTTTGTGACCAACGAAATACGTGAAATTACTGCATCATCTATGGCCATTAGCTCCATGTCGCCAGAAACTGCCTTTCATTTTGGAGGTCCTGTTCCAAGGCTCCGTGACCCCGTATTCTTCTTCTGGTTTGACCGTTCGGTTACGATCCGGGCGATCTGCTTTATTGTTGGAGGAACTCGACCATCAGCTGTAAAATGTATCGCTGCGCCCCGCCACCTTGCACATCCACTTTTTACCTGCTTCATCGACAAAGAATCTGGAGAGTCAGTGGAGATTCCTGAGCTCCCAGACAAATACGCCGTTTCGTCGGAGCTTTCTTTCGATCGTGCCGATTACGCTAAGATCGTGGCGCACACAATGCCTCAGGGAAAGGCCGCGAGTGAAGAAGATCATACAAAAGAGATCTTGCCGTGTCTTCTAAAAAATCCCGTGAAGGTCGACGCCAATGAGTGCTTTTGCATTTTCGCCCCGGGTTGCGAGGTAGATATCCGTGAGCCACCCCGGTTTAGTCGACTTTTTGAATAATTTGGCGTTTCCTGATCGCTTGATTCTCCATTGCAGGAATAAAGAAAAGAGACACACGCTTATATTTCAATAAAAGCAAACTATAAATTTATAATTTCGTCTTATCTCTTTGCCCAATTCGAAGCTGGAATGACACTATTTTACTACCTTTTAAAGTACGAGAATGCCAAGACTCATCCCTTCCCCTCACGGGCTACTATTTTCCTCTCTCCGTAGCCAGAGTAGATCCCGGCTGTTGGGTAACAGGCGAAGTATAAGATCTCGGGGCTGTGGCCGAACTCTATTAGCAGGGGCGATAGGTTCAGCTCCCCCTGCCATATGCACCACCGCACTATAAATTAACTTGGCACTACACCTTTGATAAACAGTGGTGATTGGCTTGATTTAAAAAGCAGSTGGTTGCTACTTCAATCCCAGTCCGCTGAGGATGAACACCTCCGCTTGTTGATAACAGTGCTCTGGTTATGGAGCTCCTTTTGTTCAACACAGCTCTCCGGTTGATCGAGTACTACTCTTCCATTCCTGTTTTTATGATGATATGCTCTTCTCCTTCCATAGCCGGCTAGTCAGTACGCATATTGGCTTGGCACTGCATCATTGACAATGATTGTTGGTTCGAACTTGACCTGACACTGATTGGCTTGGTTGAAACGAGCACTCGTTGGGTGGAATAATCCGCCAGTCCGCTCGAGTATCGACGCATCCGCTCGCCAGTCCTTTGAGTACCAAAATGCAACGCCGGTCCACTTGCAGATCTTTAAGAGTCAATGCGTCTGCTGTAAGCCAGAGCCTTTAGTATAGGGGAACAGGATGCTTATCCCCTCGAGTATGTACGCTTCCGCTTGCTGGGCAATGCGTTGCGTTGCTTTTTTGCTGTGGTACCATGTGCTCTTTCGTTGTGCTTTTAAAGAAACGTAGGCTGCAACTGCATGTACCACCGTGTCTGTGCTTTTTCAAATGAAAGCACAATGCAACGTCCTGAAAAACTGCAGCAAATGCTTTCATATGTTGTTCAGCAGAAAATCTAAAACATATCAGAACGGTTATCAGATCGGCGGCAACTGGTAACAATTGTGAGTACTCGGATTAATTCACCCTTCGTAAAACTAGTGTAATCACAGCAGCACTATCGATTCAAAAATGGCGCGAAAAATTGATTGATATTGATTGTTATCTGGACTAAATCGACTACGCCCTTCGATTTTTCCTGCCAATGTGAAAATGGTGTCGTTGGCAGTGAAGGTTAACAACATTCACAAACAAGTCGAATCGAAGCTATCGAATGATGAAAGCAGTCCTAACGCAGTGATATGAATGTTTGTTGCAGTTAATATTTCGTGGAAGAATCTGACTCTTACGACAGCCGAGAGAAGAAAAAAATCTATATTGCTTTCTCTCTTTCTATCCATCTGCACCATCCATCTGTCGCCGTCCAGGATGGCATCCCTGCGCTCGAGCGACGCGAAGAGAAAACGCGGCGATTCTTCCGACCGCCGTGTCGGAAATCCAAGGACAACCATCCCCTCGCTGCTGAAATACATGGAAGGCTACGAGGTGATCGTAGAGCTGAAAACGGGGAAGCGCCACCGGGGCATTCTTTCCTCGGCGGACGACAACATGAACCTGATCCTGGAAGAGGGCGGGTGCGAGGACGGGGACGACCACGGGCCCGGCGGCAGCGGCGGGCCTCCGCCGGCCTCCGTGGTGGCGACGGTCCGGAACATTCGCGGGTCCAGCGTCCGCTACCTCCACTTTCCCGACAACGCGGACCTTGCGTCCCTGGTGCGGTCCGGCCGGGAACGGGAGCGGAACGCTTCCAAGAGGTACCAAAAGACGAGGCGCAAGAGCGGCTGAGGCTGCGTYCGCATCGCGCAACCGGGAAAAGTGCGGTGCGGTGTGATGCGGTGTGATGCAATGCAATGCAAAAGCAGTGGAATGCTGGTGTCGATCGCATCGCATCGCATCGCATCGATTCGGTGCGTTTGTTGCGGGGGGAGGAGATGTGAGATCGAAAGAGCGAAACCGACGAAACGAAAGACCGTCAAGACTACGGGAAGAATGCAGAAATGCCTGGCACGGGTCGGTCACCAGCTGATAAAAGGTCACCCTTCGCATCGATGCATGCGCGGCACATCCAAACAAGAAAAACTCAAGACAAAACACTTGGTTACGAAAAACCATGTGCATGCATTGCATGTCGATCGATCCATTCGGAAAGGGTAGGACAATCGCACAAGGCTCTGTTGGTGGTTTTTAGATGAAGGAAATCTCGATGCATACGCCAAAACGGAACGGTGTAGAGGGAGCAAACCAACAAGGTTGCGCCCCTGGACAACGCCACGCACGGTTGAAACCATGCTTCGTTCCCGGACACGCAGGTGTAAACAATTGCGAATATAGCGGCACTACCGTAGATGGATCAAAATTTAAATAATCAAACGTCTAAAACGATTTCCGTCGGAAAGCAAGCCAATGGCCTGCCATGGTGTTTTCTCGCTGCTGGAAACGGAGCCACACCGCAGCGCAGCGAGCGCTACCGTGCCGCGGACCGCCTCGGATTCCTCCTCCGGGAGGACGGCGACGGGCTCTCGTTGTTGTCGTCGTTGCCGTCGCCGGGGCTGGTGTTGCGCTTTGGCTGCCTCGTCCTGGACGATCGCTGGGGGCTGTCGGTGTTGTTGCTGCTCGTGCTGTTGCTATTGTTGCTGTTGTTGTTGTTGCTGCTGCCCCCGACCAGGGTTTCGGTGCTGGGCTTGGCCCTCCGGGACAGCCGCCTCCGGTTGCTCGGCGAGGACTGCGGGGCCGACGCTCCGGTGTCGTCCTCGCCCTTTTCGTCCTCGTTTTGCGTTTCGCCGCCCTTGCCGTCTCCCGCGGTGTGTCCCCCGTCGTAGGTCTCGTCGGCGCTGTTGTCTCCGTCGTCGCTGTCGCTGTCGTCGCCGTTCACGGTGTCTCCTTGGCCGTCTTTTTCCGGGGGGACGCCTCCACCCGATCGGCCGGGGGGAGCCGCGGATCCCGCCCCTTTTCGGCGCTTGGTGGGAGGAGGGGAGGCCCTCCGCCTCTGCCTCTTGGGAGGACTCGCTTTCGCTTTCTTGCGGCTTGCATCCCCCGTGGCGTCTGTTTCTTCGTCGTCGTCCCGCCCCCGCTGCTGCTGCTGCTGCGGCGGCGAGAGCGCCCTCTTTTTGGTCGCTGCATGGTGCCTGCTCTTTGGCGCGTTCCGGTCGTCTTCCTCCCCCGGGGGTTCCCTCGGATCCCTCGAAATCGTCGAGTGCTTCTTCCTGGTGGGTTCCGGTTCCTGGCCGGCGGCCCTTGCCGCCGTCCCCTTGTGGGCCCTGTGCTGCGGGCCCCTGCCGTGGCCGGACGCAGCAGCCACCGCCGCCGACGCGGGGGAAGGCCCCTTGTTGAGGGCCGCCAGGAAGCTCAGGGCGCTCGGCGGCGGTGCCTCGGAATGGCTGTCCCCCGCCGGGGACGACGACGACGACGACAACGAGGACAACGCCAGAGACGACGAGGAACGGTGGTGTGGAAGGGCCTTCTCCCCTGAGAGCGGGGACACCGACCGCCGGATGGACCCGCCCGGGCGGTCGTGTTCCCCGCTTCCGCTTCCACCCATCCCCTTGCGCGAGGAGGGGGGCAGGCCGCTCCGCTTCATGGCGGTCTTGACCCCCATCTGCCGCAGGCTTCCCAGGGCAATGGCCGACGAGGAGGCCTTGTGGCTGGGGTGGATCCCGTGCTTGCTGGTCATGACGGTGCGTTTCTGTTTCTTTGGGAGGCCYTGGTGGACCCCGCCGGGCATCCCACCGGAGGGATGGTCCCCGGGAAGGGGCCGCTGTTGGCACTGCAGGAGCCATTCCTTGTGCCTTTGGAGGACCGAGAGGGAGGCTTCGCAACGGGAATACAGGTCCAGRAGCTCTTCCTCGGTGGTGGGGTGTGCTCCGGGGTTCTGCGGGCCGGGTGGTCCTTCCCCGGGAGGAGGGTGTTGGTGGTTGGTGCTATTGCTGGTGCTAGTACTGTTGTTGGTGCTGCTGCCATTGCCATTGCTGCTGCTGCCGTAGGCCCCCATCAAGAGCTGGCACATCTTGGCCATCGATGCCTCGCTAAAGACCGACAGGGCCTCCGCGCACTCCTTTGCAGCGGAAGACGATACGGCACCGGAATGGCGTTGCGGATGGCGCTGCTGATGATGGCCCCGATCCCTGCCGTGCCCGGGCYTGGGGGACACCAACGGTCTGGGCATTGTGGACAGGCACAGCGGGAGGTGTTTGCGTTTGTTTCGCCGGCGGCGTGGCGGTTCTGCTCTGTTCGGTGGACCGCTGGGACGCGGCTCGCTGGCTGTGAGGCTGGCTGTGAGGCTGGCTGTGAGGCTTGGTCGCTTTCGAAGGTTGGGAGCGTTCTTTGGTCTGCCGTAGAAAGTCGTTGTCTGACCCGAAAGAGTAACTACAATTACGAGTTCTTCGTTGTGTTGTTTCAGCAAATCCTCTGTCGCATCAGTCCGGAAACCATCTCTCGAGATGTCATGAGGGAGTTTGTACGTTAGGACAGTACTAGTTTGTACCGTACCATACGCGTAGGAGAACGTACTTTACGTAGTACTCGTATGGGCAATAGGTACGTACCCTGCTACGTCTCCCGAGTATTGGACGCTACCTATGGTAGGTATGGTACATAAGTTAAGCTGATCTGWGGAAAAACGAAATCGTCATTTCTATTCTACAGACGGTGGATAATACTAAGAATCACTATTGAGTTGAGTAAAGYAATCGTCTATTTCATTGCAAAGTGCGCATTCACTACTTGTCCGAATGACCACGGCTTTCCAGAAGTCACACTTCTGTTGCCCGAAATGTCTGTCTGGCATTGCGTTGCGTTTCATCTCGAGACAACAGAACCAAATCTTTTCAGAGCAGAAAACTCCGGTAGAAACCGAAAACCGGACCCCTCCGTCTCCCTCGTTCGTCTCCCGCGAGTGGCTCTCTGGGAACATTTTCGGCTCTGCTCGCCGGCCGATCCGGCTGTTTGGCGGGCCGTGTCGTCTTCCGCGGTACGGCTGCAAGGTCTCTCTGTCTCGTCCGTTGCACAAGTACAAATCCACAAACATCCAAATCTTTTTCTGCCCGTGACCAACCGCCGGTTTCGCTCTGGTGGATCGCCGCGCTGGCACCACCGTCCTCCACACCGAGCCTTCGGGTTGGTTCCGGCAAGCTGGTTTTGGGCAGGGGGACGAGCCAACCAAAAGCAAAACCAATCCATCGCCTGGCGACGGGGCAAAAACGTTTGCAGCCGCGTTTTTATGCTCGCTGCAGAGCCGCTCCGGTTTCGCACTTGCTTCGGTTCCGCTCCAACCTAGGAATGAATGAATGAATYCATCCATCCGTCCCCCGTGGATTTGAGTGAGGGTATGCGTGTGTGTGTGTGGGTGTGTGGGTGGGAAGCGTCACGGCGGGCACAAGATCTGCCACCGGCCGGGAGACTTTTCCCCGAGGACCCCGTCGTCCACCTCGAAGGGCTCCCCGGTGCACTTTCGTCCCAGGGCCGACTCCAGGATGGATTTCTCCACCCTTCCAAAGCCGGGCTTGTCCCTCAGCCAGATGGATCCGTCCGCCCGGACCCGGCAGAAGTAGAGGCCCCGGTCCACCTGGATGGCCATCGGTCCGGCGTCGCTTTCGCCGGAAGCGAGCCCCCGGATGGCCGGGAGGATGGTGTGGGCGACAAAGCGCTCGTCGTGCAGGCCGTAGTCCGTCAGGGGCCGGCTCTCGGACAAGTGGTCCCCCCCCGCCGCCAGGTGCCTGCCCGGATCCCTCGCCAGGGCCTCCTGCCGCTCCCGCTCGAGCGCCGGCAGGACGGAGAACACGTGGTTCCTTGCCCTCGAAAAGCGGTCCCTCGCCCAGACCTCCGTCGCGGAATAGGGGCCGGAAAAGTACCGGTCGTTGACCGGGAAGGACTTGAAGCCGGGGAGGACGCAGTGGTGCCCGAAGCGTGGGTCCTTCCACGCGCTGGCGTGCTCGATGGYCTTGCCCTTGTGCTTGCGCTGGTACTTGACCGGGAACTTGAGGCCAACCATGTAGTCCTCGTTGTAGTCCTCCGGGATTGGGTCCAGCGGGATCTTGTAGATGTCGATGGGGGTGGTGTAGACGACGTCGAGGCGGAGCATCGCCACCCTGCCGTAGAAGGGCTTCCCTAGACTGCGGGAGGAGGATTCCTCCTCCATGAGGTTCCAGACGCGGTCTTGGCTGTGCCACATTTTCAGAATGTTCACGAGGGTCTGGTTCGTGAACGAGGGTTCGTGGACGAAATACGGGTTGCGGCCGGGTTCGATGCTGTTGTTGTTGTTTTTTTGGTTGTTGTTTTTGATTTTGTTGTTGTTGTTGTTGCTGCTGTTGCTGGCGCTGGCGCTGGCGCTGTAGTTGTTTGTCGGGGAACCCCCCGGTCTTCCGTGGACAATCTCGTTGATGGCGTCTTTCCGCGTCGCCTCAAAGTCCTCGTTCGTGTCCGAGACAAACCGCACGATGGGCATGCGTTGCGGTGGCTCTCGTGCCCGCTTTGCCTCCTTCCAGGCGGCCTCCACAACGTCCTTCAGCCGATAGACGTCTTCCGGGGACAGGGCGCCCCCGCGGTTGCCCCCGCGCTGGGCCTCCCCCTCCTCCGAGGAAAGGTCGAAAAAGTGCACAAAGTAGTCGCACCCGTATCCGCGGTTGATCCTTACGACGTTCTTGGCCAGGCTCGGCAGGACGTGGTGCTTGAAGCTCCGGGGRAGGCCGAAGAGGTTGATCGCGCAGCCACCGCCGTTGTGGTCGTGGCTCTCGAAGGGCTCCGGTGGGTTCCTTTCCGGGCCCGGCGCTGTTTCTGCCTTTGGTTTTGGAGGCGTCGACGGTTTCGGTTTCGGTTGCGATTGCGATTCCGTCGCGCCGGGACCGAAAAGTCCCGCTCGGTCCACGGCCAGTACTGCGAGCGCCGTGTGGAGGTAGTACAAACAACAGGAGGCCGCTGCGCCGAGCGCGGCAAGGGAGAGACACAGGGTGCGGCGGCACCGGTTGTTCGGGGTCTGCCTCGGGTTCTTGTGGTGGTGGTTGTTGTGTTTGTTTTGGTTCTTGCGGTTCTTTCCGGAGCCGTACCTCCGGCTGCCCCTCGGTCGGTGCCTGGCAACGGGGTGGCGGGGAAGGATCCTCATGCCATGGTGTGGAGCGGAGGCGAGGCGAGGGCAGCGGCGACGGTAGTGGTTTTTGGTTTTGGCTTTTACAAATACGTGTACCGGTACGAGTACGAGACTTGCAACAACTCGAGAGGGAGCGGAGGAGTCAACCCAGGTCTTCGTCCGCCAAACTCCGAACCACCTCCTTGAAAATACCGGTACGGGTTTTTTTTTTGTAGTTCAGTACTGAACCGACGTAGTTCGTATGTACGGTACGTACAGTACGTACCGTTCTTTACTGTGACCATTCCCACAAACGTACCGTAGTTACTGTAAAGTTTACGTGAAGAGGATGACTAAAAAAATGTAAAATGTCATTCCAGAACACTACGACTACGTACCGTACCTTGTACTCAAAAATAAGAATACAGTAGATTGCGAATTGGTCGCAGTTCCAAGAGTCAACAAAATGACTCTCCTGGAACCATCGGAAATCCAAAAATAGAAAAATGAAAAATAGACCTGTACTTCCACTACGAAGTAAAGTACGGTACGGTACTTCGTACGAAGTCACACGAAAAATACGAGTACGTAACAACTCGTAACGAAACGGTGCCGCGCCTCACAATCCCATTGAGGACCAGTCTCGAACCAGAACCCAACCCACCAAGGGAGACAACAAAAGGAGACCACGACACGAGAGGATGGCCAAGCTGAGGAGGCTCCCGGTCGGGCTCAAGCAGAAAAAACGACACGACGATCAAAGGCGGCAAAAGAGTTATCGCTGTTGCTGTTGCTGTTGCAGCATCGCCAACCTCTTCTATTGGTCGATGCTCGTTCTCGTTCTGTTTTACGTCACAAACTCTGCTGTGATTGTTCTCCACATGCCGACAGAAACTCATAGCGATCACGTATCATCATTGTTTCTTCATGGCGTGTACAACAGCAGCAGCAGCAACAACAACAGCAGCAACAACAACAACAACAGCAACAGCAACAGCCCCGTTGTAGCATCGCTCGCGGGCAAGGACGCGGGCCACCAGCCCAACACCACCAAGGCCACTCGCCTCGACCCGCCGCAAGGCCAAGACGAGCTCCCCGTCTTTGCCATTTGCCTGCTGACGCGGGACGACGTGCCCATCCTGCCGGAATGGATCGCCTACCACTACCATTCGGTGCGGCTCCGGCACCTGGTGGTTGCCGTGGATCCCGAGAGCGACACGGACCCCAAGCCCGTCCTGGACAGCTTCCGGACCCTGCTGGGAGGGAACTACCAGAAGAAGAGCCGTCGGTTGCTCGTGGAGCAGTGGGCCGACAAGGACTTCATGCCCGACTACTTTGTGAGGGGGGAGTACGGAAAGGCCCCCAACTTTGTCGGCGGCTTTGGCGAGCCAGACGACAGCAAGACCTGGGAGGGGTGGTATTCCAAGCAGAAACACATGGGCAAGGTCCGCATAAAAGACCAGACCTACGTCAACAACCACCGATTCMGGCAGACCCGCTTTTTGTCAAGGTGCACCGAGCACCTGCGGGAAAAATACAGCGGGAACCAAAAAGGCGACAGCAACCGCAAGAAGAACGTGTGGATGGCTACCCTGGACACGGACGAGTACCTGGCCATCAATCCTTGGATGCTCCTCGAGAGCGGAGCGGACGCCTCCGGTGCTCTTCCGGCCGACCGGGAAACGGTCGATTCCGTGATGAAGCTGGAACCGGCCTCGGTCCTCCGCTGGTGGGTGGGGAAACAAAACGAGCTGCAAACAAAGGAGTCCTTGCCKTCGTCGCAACACGCCAACCGAAACCACCCGGTGTGCCGGCAGATCCCCCGGCTSCTCTTCGGGTCGGTGGAAGCGGCCAACCTCACCGTTGCGGCCGACAAGGTGGAACCCGACACCACCTATGGATTTTTCCCCAAGGACGGAACCAARGAGTTCCGCTTCGCGTCCGGCCTCCCCCGGTCGAAGAGCCCGATGGAAACACTGCGGTGGAAGTACCACGCGGCCCCGGACGACAATCGGAACTTCCAGCCCAAGGTCGTCCTGGACGTCCACTCCATCCCGGACACGGACCAAGACATCTGGGGGAACCACGTCTTCACGGTCCACCGGCCGTCCAGGGCCCTCTGCGCCCCCGAGACCCCCAACAACTGGAACGGGACCCTGCTGGAGGCTCCAAAGGAAAGGAGCGGTCCGGCCCCGAAGAATGTGGAGGTCGTCGATCCCTCCCCCGTGGTGGCCTACCACTACATCGGGTCYCCCCAGCGGTACTTCGAACGGCGGAACGACCTGCGGAGGAGCCGCAAGCGGTACCTGGAGCGGAGCAACATCACCCACGGGCACAGGAACGACCAGTGGATCGATCGGTGGCTCCCGGGCTTTGTAGAGGCGGTGGGGGTGGACACCGCGGCGAAACTGCTGGTCCCGAGGGAGCCGGTCCTAAAATTCCCCAAAAAGGCCAAGGCGCGGAAGGACCAGAGGAACACCGATGTCCGGCGAAGGTGAACCCAACGCAACGCGAGGGAAAAATGTTGGTTGTGCCGAGCGAGCCAAGGGCATGCATTGCCGAACGCCACGCCACGCCATGCAGCATGGGACGATTTCCTGGCTCGCCCCGTTTCGTTGGTTGGTTTGTTTGGCAAAAGAACTACGCCACCATAGGAAAGGCCTTGCGATCGTTTCTCCGCTGGAAATCTCGACGGGTTTTGGTCTCGGTGGCACGGGTTTGGCATTGCCCATGGCTTTGTTTCGTCGGAGCTACGATTCGTACAAAAGGAAGTCCGAGGTGTTTTCAACCATCCATTCGAAACGAAGGCAGTGTCCGAAAGCAAGAAGTTAAGTTGGGTGCTTTGTGGATGGCTTGGTGAGGTGGATTCCTTCCTCCAAGTGAATCGTCCACGACACGTGACAACCTCGACGCCGGGTAATTCCATGGCGCGAACGAAATGCCACGGCAGCTGATCCCTCCGAGCCACCCGATTCCACCAAAACATGAAGGACTCTCCAACGAAAGCAGTTGTTCGTTGCTTCCAAAGTGTTGTTTCGCAAATGGAAGAAAGAACAATCCGTCGTCCAAGGAGACCGCGATGCCCGGCTTGTGGAAAACCACAACTAGCTGTTGCGTGTGTGTGAGAGAGAGAGATAGGGGTTTCGTTTCAGCGACGCTGCTTGCCTTCTCTCTATACCACTATAACCGTTATGCACTTGCGCGATTCGTGATTGATCAGCGCAGTAACAGCTCGGCAGGAAAGAGACAGCCTCTCACCAGTCGTGTGGAAATCGGATCAACGAGAGACGGCAGAAACTTCACGGCACGAATGTTCCATTCCTAGAAAACASCTAGACAGAAGTGCCGTGTTCCACTTACTGTAGTGCGCATACACCTCTAACCAATCGACTCCGCCGTAGTTTACCGGCGCAACATCAGTTTGGATCGATGGAGGCAGCAACGAAGGAGGAACAGAAATCCTACGCACCAAAATTTGCAATCCCAATTTTTTGGGTGGTACACGCAAGACACACGGAAGATGCCATAGAAAAACATAGTGGAATGATAAGGTCTCTTGCATTTACTAAGAATGGAATTGATGGCTTGTAAACAAATACTGTAAAAACTTGTAGGTTCAACGAATTTCGTTCCGGAAAGGATGCTAACAAACATAATAGCACGATACAACATTGTCAACCGCAATAATTACCACGCAACATATACAACACTTTGTAAATATTTATTTTAATACGTTCTCTAGTCTTGTCGGTAGTCYCTCCCGCTGTACAAGGCATCCTCGGCCTTCTGGGCTTCCCTTCCGATGTACCCACCGTGGCCAACGCTTAGTACTTTGTCGGCCATGTCCCATTTTTCCAGCAACTCCGTCGTCARTTCCTTGGCCGTTCGGCATTCCCAGGTCCGGACGGGCTCGGGGGATTTCCCGTGGCACGTCAAGCGGTTCCCGTGCAGGTCGAAAAACTCGCCCTTCTCGTTGATTATGCACGAATGGTACGACGCGAAAATCACCTTCTTGTCTCTGTCGATCCGAAACTTGAAGTACCCCTTCGGGTCCATGGCGATGCTCCTCTTCGAGAGGTAGTGGTCCAACATGTCGGCCCGCTGCGCCTCGTGGAGTGTCGGGGCCGCGAGCCCCCCGCTCGCTCGAACCGCGGTCGACAGCGACGGTTTGCTCAGAGGGCCCCTGACGATGTTCGGGACCCCGCAAACCATGTGCACGACGGCCTCGGCCCGCTTGGCAACGTACTGGTTGAACCATCCCTGTGCATCGACGAATTTCCGTGTCACGTGGTCGTGCGCATGGGTACCCGATCCCACCTCGTTCGTTACGATCACATAGGTACAGTCCCATGGCTCCGTCATTTTGTCGAACTGCGGGTTGCAAGGAGAATTTAATTTGCGATTCACAAGGTCCACAGTAGACAATCAGTGCGATGAGAATTCAAGGAATCATAAAGATGCTATGGTAGCAGTCCTTGCAATCCTTGCCATTTCGAATGCAAAACGATGACAATCCTAAAAATTGGAATTAAGCAAAGCGTGACCCCCCGTCGTGCCTGAGGATTGAAAATTTTATGTGCTCACCTCTTTTTCAATCTTTCGGAGTGCCCTCTCCGCAGCGTCTTGGGCTGATCCGTTTTTTTTCAGCTTGTCGTTTTCGTTTTCGTCGAGGGAAAAGAGGCCTTCCTGCATCATGTAATTTGTCAACCAAAGGGTGCAGCAGTCCACGAGGACAACCCGCCCCTTCATTTTCTCCAGGTGTTTGCTGGGTTCCAGTGGCTCTTCGATCGTAATCCATTGATCGCCCCGGTCTCGCTGATGTTTTTCGACGCGTTGTGCAAAATCGTTGTCATTTTCGAAGACCGTCGAGGTCGCCAGGTAGATCGGATTTGGGGAGAGATACTCGCACAACTCCTGTGCGTAACCAGATTTTCCGGAGCGGGCACCRCCACTGATAAGATAGATTGCAGGCATTGCGTTTTTTGAGACGTAGGTGTGTTGACGAAGAGAGTTTGCGTGTGTATCGGTGGTGGTGTTTGTGCGATGATACTTGTACAGTTTCTTCGGTTGTGGCTATCGTCGAAAATTGTGAGATATTTCTTTCCTTGGGTAAAAAAAAAAAACAGAAAAACAAATACAGTTCTCGTACCCGTTGACGACCACTCGTAAGGTTCGTACGGTACCAAGTACCATACGTACACATGCAGGAAGCAAGTGGATACAGAAAGTCGTCAACAGTCAACAGTATTATTGTAGACAACTACTGTATCAATCGTACCGTACGGTACATGGTACGGTACTTACTGTACTGTACTTACTCTACCGTTCGTATCGTGCTTGTAATCAATCAAAAAATCAATATCCATCAGTCTGCTCATCGCCCGTTC